GTGATGCAGAAAGATATCCAGCCTCAGGGATGGGCTGGTTCCAGGGGCCTGAGCAGTAGAGATTTGGGGCTTTTATTCTGATTTTGTAAGCAGATAGGGTAGGGGGTCCCTAGAGGAAAAGAACCAGATATAGCTTTTTGACGTAAGAGCAGCCATTTTATGCCTATGGAATTTTGTGATCCAAGCCTGGCCACAAATCTTGCCCTTGAACAAGATCTTAGTAATAATGATCTTAAGGGAGCAAAAGAACAGACTGTTATCAGGTGAGAGACATAATAATAGCAAAGATAATAAATCAGTGGTGAAACCTCTTCAGTTCTGTTTCAAAGGTAAAGATTAGACTGAAGAACTTTCTTGAATCGTTCTGCAGAATTTAAACCCTCCTTGAGTGCTCAGGCAGAACCTAGAGGATGATGATATTGACTTGTTCTGACTCTCAGTCAACTAAAGCTTGATCTCTATTGACTTTTCCCCAATTCTGTGCTGAATTCTTCTCTGCTCAAGCCCCTTGTGAAAATGCATACACTGCCCAGGCCCCTTCATGAATATGCATATACCCTTAACTTAAAACTTCCCCAATTTTGCTCTTGAGGGAGACACGGCTTTGGGAAAGAGCCCCAATGTTCTCATTATTTGCTGCAAGTAACAAATCCTTCTTTCTCCCAATCTTTGGCTTCATTATATCTTTTGCCTTGACACTCACCAAGAGGCAAATCAAATTTTTAGGTAACAGGATTCACCACTGACATAGCTCGATTTCTCTCAAGTGACTGCTTATTTTTGACTTTCCGTTTCTCTTTCCTTCAGCTAATGAATGACTTTTTCCCCTGAATTTACTAGTTTAGATTTCGAAGAGAGAGAACCTAGCTGGCTCTACTAACAAATACTGTCTCTGTAGGGTAATTGTTCTCTCTCACTGCTGGGAGGTGTTGGAGACTGATAGCAAGGTTGGGGGACAGTCTTTTGCAAACATCTGGCTGGTACTGTTACCGAGTCCAAACTCGTTCTGCTTGCACCATGACAGGCCAATAAATCAGGAAACAAGGTGTTGGGGTAGGGAATAATGACTTTGTTCTGAAAGCCAACAGACCAAGAAGATGGCAAACTAATCTCTTCGGGAACCATCTTACCCAAGTTAGAATTTAGGCTCCTTTCAAACTCCAAAGGGCAGGCACTGAGGTTGGTTGTTGCAAATTTCTTGATGTCAGAATCCTTTGTTCTTGCAGCTGTCCAGGTAGGTCAGGTCATGATGTTCCTGTAAACCTCCAACAAGACAAATGTTATACTCTGTTCTGCAACTTTTTATCTCTATATGAATGCATAAATATTATAACCTTAAAGGTCGGAGCCTTGAGAATAGGCTATCCTGTGTGTTTCAGGCTATAGGCAACATTTTTTTACAAAATGTACAGAACTAGCATGACTAAGCACAGGAAACGGAGCACGGGGTTACAGCTAGAGGAACAGATCTAATATGGAGTCAGGTTCATTCTTCCCTATTACAGTACCTCTCCTGTTGGGAATTTGGCCTTGGATAAAGAGTGGGATGCAGATGGTGGAGCAATGACAAGTTTTGCTTCAGGCAGATCTTTCCTGTGCAGCTTCACTCTTTGGTTGGAAGTCTTTGGAAATTTGTGGAACATCTGACATACGCATAATAAAAAAATAATAATAATAAAAGACAACTGTCCTTTGACTGTATAGTAGCTATTCTCTCCCCCACTCTCCTCCCTGGAATGTGGTTCATCTCTCTCTGGGCAGTCATGATGCTCATGAGAGGCCCCACAGGAGGAGAATCATGATTGTTCGGAGAACTACGTCCTTGTCAGAAGATTGGTTTTGGCATTGCCACACAAAACATACCTGAGAAGATGAATTCTGGAATGTTTTTGTGAAGGGTTTGCTGACTCTTTTTTAAAGAAATATAAGACTTTTTTTTTTTTACCTTGGGATATTTTTAACTGCATATGGTGCTTAGAGCTGCAGCAATCATGTTACAGTCATGGAAGGAACCACTTAAAATAACAGGCCACCCTCCATTCTGATGGCAGAGGGGAAGGATTGTCACACTCCTGGTCTCATCCACAGTGATGACCCTCCGCATGAACCAATACTGGAACTGCTCTAATGTTGGGTGGAAAATTACTCTGAAGCAGTGGTTGCCTGAAAGTAAACCACCCGGCAAGCCATCCTGGAAGTAAAGGAACAGCAAGCCTCCATAAAGCAAATTAAAATCTTCAAATCACATGATTTGCTAAATCAAATTAAAGCCCACGGCGAGAAGCTAAAGGAAAGAAATGAGTAGATGAGCACACTTAGGATAGGGTACAAGGTGGGTGGAAAGACCACTCTCTAGCTAACCCTGGGGACAGTGTCCATAAGACCTACTTCTCTCTCTGTTGCATCTGCCTTCCCTGCTGATGTGTAGTTACAAAGACCAGAGCTGAGGTTTGGGCAAGCTCCACAGGTGGAAGGTCGCCCGAGCTTATGACAGCCACTTGTTGTATCTGAGAGACACAGGGACAAGCATGCTTTGTCAAAAGCCATAGCCTGCCAGTTAGCTTGATGAACAGTCATGAATTTAATATGTGTTTTTTGGGCAGAGAAAACTTGGGGCAGGAATGGGTGTCAGTTCTTCACGAGAGCAATTTTACCCCCTCAGTGTACCTTTGGCAATGTCTGGAGACATTTTTGATCGTCATGACTGGTGTGTGTGTGTGTGTGTGTGTGTGTGTGGGTAGAGTTCCTGGGTGCTGCTAATCTTGTTACAATGCATAAGATACTCTTCCAGACAAAGAATTATCTGGCCCGAAATGTCAGTAGTGTGGAAGTTGGGAAACCTGGGTGTCGCCAATAGGTGGTTGAAATAAGACCTCATAAATATTAAGTGCTTATGTATAGTGTATCTTGAATATTTAATGGCTCTTGTCTGTTGATTACATGATGAACATTGATTGCCCAGGTGCCTTATGAATATTAGGTACCTTTGGTTCTCCATCCCTTTTATCAGTGTGAGATACATACTTGGTCTTTTTACTTATATTTTACACATCCTATGCATTCTGCCCACATCTAACAAAGTTTTGCTTCCTAACTGCTTATCTATACTTAAAACATCTTAAAACACTTAAAAGTGTTTTGCCTATATTTCATAAACTTCATACTTATTCACCTAACAGAACTGAAGATTTGCAAAAGCAAATGCACATTAAATCTGCCCAGGAATTTCTAACAAGAAATTTGTAACAAGAAACAGGATATAAATGTCTTGTTTAAGACACTTTTAGTTGTGTTTTCTGCAAATTGCAGCGTAGAGCATTCTAACTGGTTCCCCCATAAAGTTAGTAGGAAAATGTATTCCAAAGACAAATTAAACAGGGACTTAGACAATAATTATAGATTTACTAAATGGTAATGTAAGCATCAGATACTATAAGAAGCTCTCTCTGGTGCCCCCATTAATGTAATGCTTGTTTGAGCTTTCTGTTCACATTTCAAGCAACTGTAAGTACAGTGCTTATCATGGTAGCCCTTGTGCTTAGAAATTCACCTTTTTTTATGACTGTGACAATTTCGGCTTGGTGACCTTCAGAGCACTGTGAAAAAGATTTTTTTAGATGGCTAAATGTCTATTAATAAAGGAGTAGATTTAGAATTTATATTTTTATTTATTCATTTTAAATTTATTTATATTTTAGTACTTTAAAACTGTAAAGACTTTAAGACTTTTTATGGCAGTTGTGTCTTGAGTTGCCTCTATTAAAGGGGAAGTTTTTCAAAAAATTTTTTTCAAAAAAATTTCCCCTTTAATAGAGAATTCTGTTTAAGATTATGTAAACATATAAAAAATTATAAAAGGAGGTTGTTTAGGAGAGATTTCAAGAGTTTATTTTAAAATACTGAAGGTATATTCCTTTTTATTTCTTCTAATTTTCTTTGCTCCCTTTTAATTTTTTTTTGTGGTGGACACTAATATTTTGTTAGATAACATATCACACATAACACGTGAGAAATGGTAAGGTATGGTAGTATATGGAAACCATATGATATATTTCCAGAGGAAGCTCTAATTTGTAAAGATGCATGCAACCCAGTACAGCACTATTTACAGTAGCCAACACATGGAAATAACCTAAATGTCCATCGACAGATGACTGGATAAAGAAGTAGTAGTATAAGTATGCAATGGAATACTACTTAGCCATAAATAAGAATAAAATAATGACATTTGCAGCAATATGGGTGGACCTGGAGATCATCATTCTAAGTGAAGTAAGCCAGAAAGAGAAAGAAAAATGCCATATGGTATCACTTATATGTAGAATCTGAAAAAAGGGCACAAATTAACTTATTTACAAAACAGAAACAAACTCACAGGTATAGAAAACAAACTTATGATTACCAGAGGGGGAAAGGGGTGGGAAAGAATAAATTGGGAGTTCGAGATTTACAGATACTAACTACTATATATAAAATAAATAAACAACAAAGTTTCGATTGTATGGCACAGGGAACTATATTCAATATCTTGTAGTAACCTCTAATGAAAAAGAATATGAAAACAAATATATATATGTATATGTATAACTGAAACATGCTGTATGCCAGAAATTGACACAGTTTTGTAAACTGACTATACTTCAGTTATAAGAAACACCCATATGATAAAAAGCTAAAGTGAAAAAGAGAGAAATAATATATCTTTAAAATAATGGAGTGCTTATGGTAGCTCTGTAACAATGGAGTGACAGGTGATTCAGTCAATTTAATCTCATCCTATCCTTTTTAAAGTATTAGGCTGTGAGTGTGTGTGTGTGTGTGTGTGTGAATGTATGTGTGTGTCTGTGTGTGTGTCTGAGAGAGATACCTATAAAGTTTTATTTTTATTTTCAAATCTGGATTAAAGAATCATTAAAACTGGAATGCTGTCAACTTGATGGCGATTTTCAACTGATTTGCATGTTTAAGGTCCTCTTTAATCATCATTTCTTTTGTTACAGTGATTTGCTGTCCTCTGAGTACGTAGAGAGACACATCGAACATGGAGGAAAGACTGTGGAAGTGAAAGTAAGTAAAATTTTCCTCTTGGGGGGAATTTTTTGAGAATCTTTTAAGTACTGATTATGATTTTAATTTTCAGTGATACTCCTAATATACAGTTTTGGAGTTTTTATATTTCAGAATTTATCAGGAAAATTTGTCACCAACTTGTTAAAAAAAAACCCTTTAGTTATTAGAAAAACAATTCTTTGTGGACTATAGGAATTGTTGGAGTTATGCTTTGTGGGATTAATATTACTGCAAGTAGTTCTCTCTTTTACATGATGTCCGAGAAAATAATTTCTGAAATTTGCCTTTAATATTGGCACTGAGAACCAAGAGGCGAAATCTTGGTTCTAGGTTAGATGCACAGCTTTGCATTCATTTGGGAAGTATTTCTTTGGTAAAATTGTGAACCTATTAGGTAAACAGGGAAGTCCCAGGGAGTTTCAAATCCCTGGAGACAAACATCTCAGGATATTGGTTCTTGTCAGGTAAGCTCTGAAAAAGATTACACACTAATAAAAGCCTCTTCCAGTTATAGGCATAAGAGTGTGTGTGTCTCTTTCCTGTCTACTGATGATGAGGTCTGAAGGCATATGAGACTGAACACCGCCCAAGAGTTTCTTTAAGCCCAATGTTTAGTAGTGAGTTTAGAGTGAGTTTTAGCTGAGTGTTTGTTTTCTTCTAAACAGTGTTTAGACTATCTATTCTATCAGAATTATAATGCCATTTACTTGCTTTCTTTTTCTGATTATAAATTTGACTTATACGCACTTTAGAAAACTTGTTAGTAGAGAAAAATGTAGCAAAAAAGGAAAAGTCATCCATAAACTCATCACTGACACATAAACTTTGCTTTCATTTTGTTGTGTTTCCTTCTACTATTTTTTTCCTGTGCATATATTTATATTTTCATTTTTTACGGAGTTGATATCATATATACTTACAGTATTGTGTCTTGCTTTTTAAAAGTTAATATTATATCATGTTATAAACATTTTCCCAAGGTATTTTCCCTTAAAACCTATGTTTACTGCTTTTCAAATTAAATATATTACTATAATAAAGCTTTTTATTTAAACTCTGTTACCAATAACCAAAATAAATTATATTATCCTAGTCAAGTGACAACATGAAGGGAATTGGGTTTTGCAATTATATGTTAACTTTTTATTTTGAAAATTTTCAAACATACACAGAAGTAAAAAGACTACTACAATGAACTCCCACATACCCATTATCTAGAATCAACAGTTATGAAATTTTGACAATCATTTCTCTCTCTTTCTATGTGTGTAGTATTTTAAATCAAAACTTCAATGAAGTACAATTTTTGAATTGTGGGTTTGAGTTATTTAAAACTTACCAAATTATGTTATATATTTATTAAAAGACATCCAATGTTGCCATTTAAAAATATGTAAATACATTCTTTATTTTAGAATTTATTCTAAATTCTAAACACAGACAAGTTGCAAGGTAGTATTAAGAGCTCCTGAACACCCAGTAACCACAATTTCTTCAGTTAACATTTTCCATTGCTGTGGTACATTTGTCACAACTAACAAATCAATATTTATATATTGTTAGTAAATAAACTCTATTCTTTAGTTAAAAAAATACTTTAATAACATGTACAAATTGGAGAGACCCAGGAGAACTGAATAATTGGCCAAAGTGGCTGAACCACTCACCTTAAATACTATCTTCAGCTAAAGACAAAAGAGGATGTTGGGGATACCGTTTGGGACCTCAAAGGGGATGAAGGTAATAAGACATGGAGAAGGAAAAGCAAATGTTCAGTAATCAAATGTTTGCTGGGCCCTGCAGAGACAATGGGACACAGGAACTTTTAGCAACAGATTTTGCTAGGTTCCTCCCTGTCTACAGACCTAATTTGTACTATGGTTTCTATATTGATGGCTCCCTTCCGGGGACAGGTCCTCTGTCTATAGTCTTCAGGCAGTTAAGGAAATGGTCAGAGTTTCTTCCTGAGTCTTTTTGGGTCTTGATTATTTTCAGCTCCAAATGATCTGTATGCCAAAGAGACATTTTGGGTTGGCAAATTCTGTTCCCTTACAAAAGCAAATTTCAGACATTGGGACATTTTCCATCTTTATACATCTGTATCTCTCTAACTGATACACATTTAAAGCAAAATCTGTTAATTTTTGCAAGTGATCTACATATAATAATTGTGCTAGTCTCTCTAGAAAGTTATTCTAAATTTACTTTAAACTGACTAATTGAATGGTAGATTGATTTATGTCACTGCGTTACTGCAGAAAGCAAATTAAGATTCTTCTGGGTATGGCATAAGAAAATGGAACCACTTTGCTTAGAGTTGGAAAAAATTTACCTCTATTTAGAAGGTACTGGACTCCTTTCATTCTCATCCTTGATTATTTGGCTTTATTCTCCACTTTGTATGACGATTTTCTGAATGCAGAGTGTATCTTACTACTTTACTAAGTTAGAGTGTTAAGGAAGCAAGTAGTTCCCTGTCTATTTCCATTTATTTCCATCAGTGGAATGATGAAATGCAAATACGAGCGTGGAAGACTGGAGGGTGGATCCAGCAATAGCTTTCGCTACAGTAGTATCCCTCTTCAGGAAATATGTACTCGATCAGAAAGCGTAGCCCACTCTGAGATCATTAGACTCCTTGGGTACATATAACACCCAGAGCACTGACTTTACCACACAACCATTGCTGATTTTCCAGCCTGAGATTTGCATTTTTTACCTGGATGGTTTGCCTAACTTGCAAGTCTATCCAACCAGGGAAATGATAAATCAAACTTCATCCAAACCCTAGGGCCAGAGAACTTTCTCCTACTAAGAAAACCACTTGGATCTCACCCATCACCTCCATTTGTTTTCAGTCCATTTAAAAATCTAACTCAAAATTCTCTCGGTTTTTCTCGGGAACCACATTTGAAAGCTCTGAGTCCCACCTTGTCCATTCAAAGTCAGTAGCCAGTTATTTTCCTGCTGGTTCCCTCATGTCTCTGCCTCTGTGCTTAGATCTTTGGGATGCTTCTATTTACGTGGAGTCTGTTAGTTCTCCTTTCTTTACTAATAACTCAGAATTTCCTCAAACTCCTCTTTTTTACTATATATTATGGAATAAATAAAATTGGACAACTGTAGCATTTTTTATTTTTCTTTTTCATCCATCTACTACCTTAAAAAAACTTAAATTTTAAAATTTCTCTTTCACCTTTTATATTAGTATGCTATGGCTGCCGTAATAAAGTACCATAGACAGGGTGGCTTAAACAAAGAAATTTATTTTCTCACAGTTCTAGAAGCTAGAAGTCCAAGTTTAAGGTGTCAGCAGGATTGGTTTCTTCTAAGGACTCTCTCCTTGGCTTGTAGATGGCCCTTCTCTTTGTGTTTCATATAATCTTCCCTCTGTATGTGTTTGTACCCTAATTTCTTCCTCTTAGAAGGGCACCAATCATATTGGATCAGGGCCCACCCTAATGACCTCATTTTAACTTAATTACCTCTTTAAAAACTCTACCATCAGATATAGTTACAATGTGAGGAACTAGGGTTAGGATTTCAACACATGAATTTTAGGGGAATACAATATACAATTCAGCCCACAACACCTTCCCTAAGAGGCCTATGAATTTTTGTTTTTTTAAGTTGGCTTTTCTTCTGGAACTGCAGTAAATGAAGGGGTATGTGAGATCAACACAAAACTGTAGGAAAGAACATTTCTGGTCAGTTGGTACAAACATGGGCATACTTATCTTGAGGATGCAAAATTAAAATCAAATCCTTATAAAATCTGATTTAAACAATAGCTAGAAACCAGTCTAGTGAATGGCTCTGCTCAAGTGTCATGGAACCTTTATTTGTGAAAATCCTGGTGCAGTGCATTTGATTTAAGGGTATGAGTGTGAATGTGAGGAAAGGAAGACATTTGCATGAAAAACCACTTATTAGCTACTTCGGTGAATTTTTTTTTCAAAATTAATTAATTATTTTTTATTGAAATATAGTCAGTTACAATGTGTCAATTTCTGGTGTACAGCCTGGTGAATCTTTTAGATTGCAATTTTATTTTTAAAACCTTTTTAATTGTAAAATATAACACTGACACAGAAATGAATAAAGGGTGAACACCTTATACCCACTATCCAGTTTCAGAAATAGAGCTTGGCCCCCTCTTCTATGTGCTTTTTCCCAAACCCAAGTCCCCCTTCCTCCTCTTGTAAGATTTGTGAGCACTATCCTGACTTTTATGGTTATCCTTTTCTTACTTTTGTTTATAGTTTTATCATCCAAGCATGTCTTATAGTTTAGTTTTGCCTCTTTAGTTTTTTTTTTTTTCGGTAAGTTATAAAAATCTTTTCCTGCCTCTTTCTCTTTTTCTTCTCCATTGCAATTTATTTGTTGAAGAAGTCAGGTTGATTATCCTATACAGTCTCTCAGAGTCCAGATTTTGCTTTCGATTGCAATTTTATATTTACAGTAAAATGCAATACATTTTAGTGATCTTTAAGAATGATTTGTAATCTGCAAGACAGTCTATGTCTCATTGAAGGGAGTTTATTCTGATCAGATGGATTCATAATTCTGATTTTAAAGTTCTGTTTAATCCTTTTTTTCAAAGATTACAAAGATAAAGGCATCAAGCAGAAAAAAAGATGGGTTTTTTTGTTCCTTTATAAAACATGCTAAAAAAACTTAATTTCATCTTTCACTTACATTTCCAATTCATTAAAAAATTAAATTCTAAATTTGCCCCTTAGTTTAGGGGGAACTTTTGTGTGTTTGACATAAACTTTAAAAAATTTTCCTTAAACATAAAACCTCAACTAATCCGAATACCCTGAGAACAAAATCTTTTTGATTGTGGAAAAATATGCCTCTGGATTCTTAAGACAAAGTAAGCTGGAACTGATGACTAGCAGCAAATGAGTCTAAACCATGCAGTTTGCTGTTTATTGTTAGCTGGCTATTTCATCTTGAAGCTGCCAGTATTCTGGTTATTGTAGGTCTCCAGT